ACTTCGACGTGCTGCCCGATGTATAAACGAGCGATTTCCGTGGCGCCCTTACACAAATTTTCGCTACACGTAATGCAATATTCATTGTCGAGGAATGTCATATTTTGCCTCCTCATAAAGGAAGCTTTGTTTTCGTGAAAAAAATTAGTTCTCAGTTTTCTTTGCCAATGTGTTTTAAAACGCCGAACAGTCACACTTAAACCAAAATATCTGTGTGTACGCTGAAATTAGTGTAGACACTAAGACTTCCGTAAATTGTGAGATATGGGTTTGAATTTTTTTTTAGATTAACAAAGTATCATTAAAGGAAGGTTGGTATTGAATTTGTTTCCGTAGATATCAGGAAAATTGGAATCCACTTCGGATATTGAACGGCAACTCTAAAAAATTGCTATTCAAAGCCGGGACGAGAATAGAATTTAATTAAACAGAAGACAAATAAAAAAAGTAAAAAAAACTCACGCAGAGAAAATATATTTGTTAGAAAAAACATTGTTTTCCACAGTCTTTTCCTCTTGTCTCTTATTTTTCTCTATTCTGAAAGTATAGTCCTCGTTCGTACGAAACGTAGCCATCAGTGACGTTCGCAAGGGCTCAGGATTGGAGACCCCGAGCTGGGCGCACGAGCGGCTGCAGATAGTCGTCGATTCCCCTGCGACATAACTACGTATTATAGGATGACCACTAGGCGAGGATTAAGCCTCGATGTCATCGATGCGGCCGGGCATGAAGTGGGTATGGAACGAACAGTCCTTCGCACACGGACAAGCAGCGCGCTGGTTATCGGCCGGCCGCGACCGCTACAAATCTTGGGCTATCGTCGGATCTCTCCTGGTTTTTGGTGGCTCTCTAATGCCTCTGCTCTCGCTTTCGAACATCGCGAATGCTCAGGGAGGAACGGCCGAGAGAGGGAGGGAGAGAGAGTTTGCGTATGTCGTATATATATATATGTGTGTGTGTGTGTATCTATGAGCGTGTATGTGTGCGGAGCAGAGAACGGGCAGGGGTCCGAGGAAAGGTCTCGTGGACTTCGATGGATATCCGGTACCCATATATACCCATCGGTGGCGGAAAGGGACACGGGAATCGGGAACGGCGGTGGTGAACACGGGAGGAGAGGGAGAGAAAGAGAAGTCACACCGACGGTATAGATAGTAACTAGGGATACCCATAGCTCTTGGTGTGGCGCACATAAAGAACAGAAACGTCGGGACGTGTTCAAGACGAACTGCGCTTACGCGCGGATTGCGCTGCGAGGATGAGACGGGAGATCGCGCGGCGGAGGACGGGTCGGGGATATCGGTAAAAGGAAGAAGAACGAGTCCAGACCCCGATGAGCGAGGAAGGGAGGGGAATTTGTGCGAGCGACGCGAGTTCATCGACGAGCCGATCACCCGAAGAATTACCGATTTCGATATCGCCGATGATTTTCTCTGCTATCCGACAGCGCGATTCTCACGCGGGATAATTTTATGTGCGGCGAGCTCTCGGAATTGTCACGCGAAGGGAGGTCACTTCGCGTATCTAGAAGCGCTCGTTTATCGCGGTTGCTCGCGCTGAAAAATCCGTTATGAAAACGAAATCGCGTGCTTCCGTAATCTGTACGCTGTAAAATCGCGCCGATACCGCCGATTTTCTACGTATTCATCCGCGTCGATGTCGCTCCATTCCGAGATTTCGCCCGTCAACGGCCGAGGGTGCCATTACAGCGGTCCTCATCGGCGCGCAGATGTGTGTATCGACGGTAGCGTTTAAATACCGTTGGGAGGAATGAGGGCTCGTTTCTTTAAGACGAGGGTTAGTTTAAGGGCCGTTCGAGAATCGGTAGCCTCTCCGGCGATGTTTTATTTTATCCTCTCCGCTCCATAAGATCGCATTCTTTACGACCCATTAGACGAATTCATTACCAGCCCCGGGCACTAGGTAGGTGAGGTCCGTAAGCCCTCTTTTCTCCTTCCCTCCCCCTCTCTCTCTCTTCATCAGTTATCCTCCCTCCTTCCCGTCTCCCTCTTCTGCCTGATCTCCTCTTCTTCCTGTCTTTCCGTCTTACACTCTTTCACTCCGCCTCCTCCCCCCTTTTCACCCTTTTCTTTCGCCTTATGCGCGCGCGGAACTTGATCGCTTTCGTCCTGAATCGTCGACTTATCCCCCTCCCGCTCTTCCTTCGCCCGCTTCGGAAACCAAAGAGGTCGGTCGCTTCGTAATTATTATTCGAATGGTCGATCGAATCTGAGCGCCGATCGGGCGTATATGTACGTTCTATGTTTACGATAACGTCGCCCAATTGATGCGCCGGCTGATGCACCCGGCGATTTAGATAGGGAAATCAGAGGCGATGCACCGATTCGAATTGAATGCACTGGCGATTACCAAGAGCGTGTACGCTCGATCGACGGTTTTTGTTACAGTGTATATCGTGGCTATCTTCGCGCGCAATTGCACGCGCGACGATAACCGTCGTTCTTTCCGCTGGCAGCGCATTATCGGACGCAACGTTTTAGCGCTCGCGCTCGCGCGCGCGCGCGCGAGATCATTCGGTTGCCTTCTTTCGGATCGACGGATCCACGATCATTATGCTTGAGTAATTACGCCCCGTTGACCATGCGTAACGGGCGACTTCCGGAGATCGGGCGTTCGCGCGGCGACTTCAATAGTCCGACCTCGTGGAATCAAGTCTTATCGAGGATTTATTGGGCCGTCGCCTAAGATAGGGCAAGATTTAAATTCTTTATCGTCACCGTTACCCGTCCGTCTTGCGCGCCTGCCCCCTCCCCCTCCCCATTCGGATTTCACTAGCCTCATCGGCTCCCTTTTTCGCCCTTCACAAATCCTCCTTTACGGTTTTCCTTCGCCGTTGAGCCTCGCGACGGGCTCGCCTTCGAATTTGGACGGACGTATTTCGTAGTCGAGCCTTAGTCGCGGGCCTCTTACCCGATTTTACGAACATCGACGATTCACGGCAATTTGCGATGTATAATATTACCCTCCGTGCGTAAAATAAGAATGCGAAACGTTTCTGAAATCGTAAAATTAAACGTTCAACTTTACGGGTTACACCCATCACGTGTACCTCGCGGATTTTATATGCGCGCGTATTCAGTTCGTCCAACGTAAATTACAAAACTATGACGCATTCAAAATTTTTATACTCTTCTGGAAAAAAAGTCGGAGGTCCAATTTCAATATTTCAAACCTTAATTTTTCTCATCTCGCGTCGCTCTACCTTCTCCCCTGCCCCACGATTATGTGTTCCAACATAAATCACACGTAATTTGCTAGATAAGATGAAAGGTGAAAATTGATCCCAAGACCTACCAGAAAAATGGCGGCATTTACATTAAGCGTGTCCAGTAAAACGTTGCGAAGATGTACCCTACGCACTTAGAGAATCGCTTCATTCCAATATTAATCGTTCGTTAGTCGAATCCGGAGTAGCTCGGAGAGATCGTTTCCCGCGACGGCATCACAGCCGCCGGTCCTCCCTTGCGGAATAACCGAGCGGAGTAAAGTCCCGTCGGCGCGGGGGACGAGAGACAGCCGCTCGGCGTTGTATCAATTCATTAGCGCATTACGGTTAAAATAAAAGTATCCACGTATCTGCGGCATGCGGTGTATCTCTTATGAAGAGGACGAGTAGTGGCCGACCGGTTTCTGCAGCTCCTCTACCCACCTTCCCTCCCACTTGCTCGCCCCTGCCTCTCTCGCGATGTCCCTCTCTGTCGCTGTTCTCCCTTCGGCCTCTTCAACGGACCGACCTTCACCGTGATTTGCTGGCTGGGCGACCACCATCCGGCGACTCGAAGTCATCATTATGCACCGCAAATGGCGAAAAAAAAAAGAGGAAGAGGTAAAGACGACTCGCGCGATTTCCAGTCAGTGTGGGTGAGGTGGAGCCGAGAGGCCGGGGGAGGCGAGGCGAGGGGCGGGCGAGTGGGATGATCGGGGAATTCGTTGGATTCAACCGAGGGTCCGAAGGCGAGCGGCGGCCTTGAGGGAGATGATATCTCGCGGAACGTCTCCCGGCTGATAAGCGAAATCGTGCGCTCGTAATGTGGTATACAGAGTCACCGGTTTATCTAGTTTATCCGCCGGCCATGTCTATTCTTTGCGGCTAACATACGCGGGGGTGAGTTTGATACTGATGCGGATACATTCGATGTGGTATTGTATGGCACCGAATTAGCGAGCGTGCACGCGGACTTCGGACTTGCTCGCTATATTAAGGACTCCGTCTCTTTCCCCCCTCCCCCCCCCCCTTGCACCTCTCTTTCTCTCTCGCTCGCTCGCTCATTCTTTCATTCCCTGACGTTCACAGACGTAAATTTGAGTGCCATCTCGTCGAGAGAAGGCGAGGAGATAAGCCACGCGCGGAGTGAACGCAGACAGATACCGGTATTTCGAATTAATGCAGGCATCTGTCGAAAGAAAGCGAAAAGTAGTTTCACGCTTAACGATCGCGCGTCGATAGCGCGAGTCCCGCATTATTAGTTAAACACTTAACGATTGAACAGTCAACCGTTTACTTGGGGACACGTCGTGTGATAAATTGTTTCGAATACTTACCTAGTACCCACACGTACGCCGCTCGGATTAATAAGAATTAATCGAGGCTCTCACGACGGCGCCAGTTTCCTGAAATATGTAAAATCTATAGTCGCCGAACGGTCGGGTTCCAAGTCGCTCGGGACGTCTCTCTCGATAGTTGTTCCCTCGATTTCTCAACTGGAGAGCCCACTACTTCTGGCTTGATTTCCATAAAAAGGCGTTGAATTTAAATTAATGGCCATATAATGAAATAAAAAATTAGCATTCTTAGGAAAATTAATAACAGCTCTCATCTTCATAAAACATTTCCGAAAAGACGCGACAGCGTCAGCGGCGAATACTTGTCGTCGAGTTCTTGAAAAGATTACTATCGATTATTATCCTCGCTCGGGCGATAAATAAATTGATCGGACGGGAAATAAATACACGAAAACGAGCACACGTTCTTAGTTTATAACATATATATTTATTTGAGCTTTAATTGCATTTTAAAATACAACCGAAATAATTAAATAATGACAAATCTGGTAAAATGGTTTCAAGAGTCGCGTATACATGATGCATATCTTTGTGGTTGCGTGTTTGTAAGTAGGTAGGTACGTTTCGAGCGTATCATTCGCACGGCTGGCTGTTCCTTTCCTCGAGTGTTACTGCGACGGTGTACGCGTGTCCTCACGTGTGTACGTATGCGTGCGCGCGCGTTGTCGTGTACATGCGTGTATATAGGGATACATGTAATGTCGTGTTGGTCGCAGCCACGTAATCGTCTCGCATTACGTTCATCACACTCTCAGCAGTCGTATATAATTACAATATAATAATATTAATATTATTATTATGTCGATAAATACTTTTAAAGTCCGCGATGGAAGAATTAGAGTTTACAAGAAATACGTATACAAGTTATGTTCCGTTCTTTTCCGGCCTTCGTTGTCGAGGGCCGCACGCAGCTGCTCCATCTTTTCCGGTCTGCTTCTAAGTCTCTCAATCTCTCGGAAGCATTCTTCCTCGTTCTCAGACTGTCACTCTATCTTTCTATCCCTCGCCCCTCTCGCAAATACATACACACGGCCACACATGCGCACACGTACGTACACATACACACGCACACATTCACACACACACACACACACACGCGTTACCTCTCGTCAACATTCGCGTCTTCGTCTGATCCACTCGCGCCCTGTGCTCTGCATTTAACACTACACTCACCACGCCACGCATCATCGTACTAGAATAACCGTAATTATATAATCAATATACACAGTAGTCGCGATATTCGAGTGATAATAATGACAATATTTTACACGTAAAATGACGCGTTGGCTCGCTCACAGACGCAATAAATATTATTTGAACAAAGAAAATTTACAATGATCTACACATACGCATTTACGTCGAGAAAGCATGCGTTCTTCGATAGCTATTCTTTCTCTGCCACACTTGTCTCTTTCTCTCTGTCTCGCTCATTCACTTTCTCTCTCTCTCTCTCTCTCCTCCCCCCCCTCTCTCTCTCTCTCTCTCTCTCTCTCTCTCTCTCTCTCTCTCTCTCTTATGCACACACGCACACATACACACACACACGCACACACTCTCTCTCTCTCTCTCTCATTCGCTCGCTCTCTCGCACTCCACTGTTCTATGCATTCGATTCGCGTGTACTTATTCAATTAATCGCTTCGCTATTGCACCGCGTCTCCGCACCTCTCGGCTCTTGTCGCTTTTACAATCGCTCGTGTGTCTCTACACACCTTCGATTCGCAGCAGTCGTAACGCTCTCCGGGGCGGCTCTTGTCCGTCCCCGCGAGCAAACTCACCGGGTTTTTCGTAGTAATAAGTATCAACAAAGAGATTCCTATACAGGGTCGAACCCTAGCCTATCCTATGCGCTAATAAACTACGGCCTTATGATCTAGAGGTATACATGCTGACGATCTTACGACAGATGATAGGTAAGCCTTCTCTTTTTCTCGCTCTCCATCTCTCTTTTCTTTCTCCACCTCACCCTCTCTCTCTCTCTCTTTCTCTCTATCCATTTCTCTTTGTTCCAATCAATTTTTGCGGTTTCCTTTGTCTCGTCGCGATCTTGCTCATCTCACGTCGTAAACGTCCTTAAGTATTTATAAAATCACAAACTTGGCCGCGTGCCGAGCCCCGTGACTCAGCAGTGCCGCGAGATATGGTGGCATCACAATTTAATTAACGCTCGTTCAACACCCACATCTTCGTTACACCCTCTCACGTTCCTTGGGCACGAAAGAAAGTAAGAGTCGCTGGTACAATTCCTTAATTCTCATACCGATGGAAGGAAAGTGATACGAAAAAACGGAAGGCGAAACGTGCTGCGAGAAAGTCTTAACAACACGGAAATGTCGATTGTACAAAGTTATGCGCGTCCTACTTTGGACACGTATCTCTATAGCGATTGCGATCGAGGAGGAATTCTGCGAAAAGCAAGGACGAAAAAAAAAACTGAAATTCTCTCGCGACGTTCCCCATGTTTGCACGTGATTCCATAGCGAGAAGGAAACATTCCAAACGATTACGCGCGCAGGTCTACTCTAGAGCATAATCTTCTCGTAACGACTAAAAATATAGTAAGTGGGAAAAGAAGAGAGGGATCTGTATAAAAGAAATTATGAGAGAGGTGTGTATAAAACGGAATTTGAGGCCCCCTCTCCGATGTAGAATTTTTGAAGGGTCTGTGTGACGCACGCTAATCGTGTCACCGACCCAGGAATGATAAGATGCGTCCTCGATGATACGACTAAAACGATCGTCAAAAAAAAAAACCGTAGAGGAATCGCGTTGCGTTTGTATTTATTCTGCGAGTGAACGAAATCTCTTACTATAATAATATCGTCGCAACGGCGAAGTCTTTTCGACGGAGATATCCACATTTAGGCTGAAAGAGTGCAGTGGCGAGGCTTTAAAATTAAAACAAAAATAAAATATATATGTTTAATACTAACAAATTTGGAATTTATATTACCGGCTAATATATAAACATAGCACGAATATCCGGTTTTGACTTTCTTTGTCTCCTTTTATTTATATTGATGTTGATCTTACGAATCTGATTTAGATTTTCATATATTTTAAAAACACATATATATGTATATGTTCAGTATTAAAAAATAAAGTTTATTAAATTGCTTTTTCGTACAGTGACAAGAGCAACCTGCTTAAGTTTGACAGATCAACTACGGGTTCCTCCGTATATTTTTCTATGAAGAGATTGTACGGTATATATCGAATCAATATTTTCAAGAAAAGGCAGTGCAAAGAAGTTCTCGAAAATTATACCATTCTTTCAGTAGGAATTAATAAATAAGGAATTCATAATGCAAATGGATAATGATCTAAAACTTCCAAGCTCTGTAAGAAGTACTTAGAAATAGAAAAAATGCGAAGGAATTTTGCAAAATACACGGATAGGTCTTCTTAGTCGCCAGACAGATTTTAGTCCAATCGAACTATACGGAAGAGCTATACGTAATATTTTATTTTTAAAGATCTTTGGAACATTCTAAGAAGCTTGAGAGAAGACGGAGGGGTATAACGTTGGGAAAGAAGCTATGCAAAAATTAATGAAAAGAATGCCAAGATTGTGTCAAAAAGTCAAATTGAAGAAAAGAGTATTCTGTTGAAAAAAAAGAAGATTTAATACACTTTATTTGCTAATATTGTAAATGTAAGAAATTTTGTATTATTTTAATTACAAGCTTTATTAGAATAGTATATGTTTACATAAATAAAAATGTACACGTTTAACAAAATAATTTATATCTCTAAAGAATCACATTTTATAAAATATGTTTTAATTGTAATACATAATTTTATGAAAAAAAATTGTAATGTATTTCAAATTATGTAATGGCAATATGATGTTATGTCTCACGAATTGATTCTTTTTATACCACTAGATAAAGATCAATTCTTGTAGCAGACAGATATAAATGTCCCACATGTCAATTATTTATATTTTCTTGTATTTGTTCTTGAGCAAATAATTGTAGGCTTATCATACGGAAGATTGTAAGAAGAGTTAAAAGGTAATAATTAGTGGGGTTGAATATTCAGTGCTATAAACGTGCGAAAGAGGATTTTTCTATTCATTTAAATGATAGAAATCATCTTTCGTTTTTACAGCATCGAAATTTAAACTCGATAAATTTATATGAATATATACCGTGAATATATATCGTATGATCAGTGGAAAATTAACGATCAAAACTACGAATATTACAACTTGATTCGTCCCGTCTTATACGCGACAGGATTTGTTTGAAATGCATAGATGATAACGTGAAATAATTATAGGATCTCTTTTTCCATGATCGTTTCAGCCACGACACAGCCTCTTTAAGCATAAACCCGAAGACGTCGGATGCGCGACGACGTCGTTCGGCGCGGCGGTGTTCGCGGGGAAGGGGATGAAAATTTTCACATCGCTAGTTTTACAGTCGTTACAGTATAGATACACTTATGTACAAATGGCACCGCTACTTACGGGGCTCGGACTATACGTATTTGCTGGACAATTGCTTCGCCAGCTCCGTATACTTGAGAAATTTGGAGTGCGGGCTCTCCTCGAGGGGTGAGGCCGCTGACTGCGACGGGCTGCCGTTCGCCTGCGGAATCGGCGGCGACTTGTTGCGCTGCGACGTCGGCGGCGACGAGGAATTGCGGCTCGGTCCGCCGGAAGTGCCCTGGGAAGCCGCCGCGGCGGCCGCGGCCGCGGCCGCTGCCGCCGATCGGCCGATGGTCAGTGGATCCGGGATGACGCCGTCCTTGACGAAATGCATCTTGGATAGATGGTGCCTGTACGCGCCTTTCGAAATGAAGGGCGTGTCGCAGAACGCACACTTCATTATTGAATCCGCGGTGACCACGGCATCGTTACAGGCCCAGCTAAAAGCCAAGATGGCACCCGGTGTTGGCCCGGGACCCGGGCCGGTCGCCCCTACCGTGCTACCGCTGCCCGAGCCGATGGTGCTAGCTGTGGAAGCACCCCCGGATCTCGAGGAGCCGCTGGCGCCGGGACCTCGCGTTTCCGTTTTATCGCATAACTTCTGCAACGCCGCGAGTGGATGGCTACTTGTTTTACGCCCCTGCGAGTCGATGTTGTTGCCGCCGCCACCGCCGCCGCCGCCGCCGGACAAGCTGTCGAACATGGAGGAGAGCGCCCCGAGACTGCTCGACGCCTTAGTGTCGGGTGTACCCCGCGGTGTGACCGATCGGTCGCTGCTGGTAGGACTGCTCGTGCTGTTCCTACAAGGACTACGCGCGACCTGTTCCACCTGGCTGGTCGGCCGGGGCGTAGGTGGATTCATGCGAGGTGACAGCACCTCTCGTCCATCCTCCGGCGTCTCGTGGATGCTGCTTCGTCGGTGATTGTAGGAACTCTGATCCTCCTCGTCTCTGCAGTCGTCTACTATTTCCTTCTTCACGAACACCTCCCTCGTCGACTGCGACTGCTGTTGCTCCTCCTCGTTCGCGCCTCGCTCCTCTGTCTCCTCGTCCCTCGGTTCTTTCTTCACCACCACGGTAGGCGACTCCTCGTCTCCGGATTCCTCCGCGGTTTGATGGCGACTAGGTAACGGGGTGGGCTGCTTCTCAGGAGTGACGCGATGATGGCGAGGCAGGGAACTCGAAGAATGTCTCTCGTGGCTCGTGTTAGACAGGTCAATACGTCTCTCCGGTGTCATGGTATCCGTCCTGCCGCTTCCTCGCTCCGATATCGAACTGGACTCGCTGCCGCTCCGTTCCCTTCTCGCCGCGACATTGGCGTTGTAATGCTGCTGCTGCTGATGCTGCTGTTGATAAGATCGAAGCAGATTCATCGTTTGCGGATCCACCAGAGGTTTCGTGTAATCCACGCTCTCGTCGATACCCAAACGCTTGAGGATGCTCGTACCTATGGGGGCGCCGGGCTGAGCGTGGTGCAAGCCGGGCGTGCCGTGCCTCACGCGAGAATCGAAACTCTTCTCGATGAGCTTTTCTATTGCGTTCAAAACCGACGGCGAGGTACCTATCGGAGCGGTAGTCTCATTAGCGGTCGGTGTAGGAGTATCTTTTCCCGGTGTCGTCACGTCGCTGGCCGAGGATGGAGACCGGTGATGCCTCGACGATATCGAAGACGTCTCCTCGTTGACGCTCTTGCGTCCGCTTTCGGTTGGCGGTAACGTCGCGGACAGATGATTGGACATGAGCGCGTTCTTGAGAAAGTTCCGCTGATTGGCGCCCACCGTGCCCGCGCCGATGCACTGGCGTATGTGCTCGACGAAAAGCGGAGTCTCTATCTTGTCGCCGCACTTCTCGCACGTGATTCTGCCGGCGTGCTTGCCGAGGCTGTGAGTCAGCCCGGCGGCGGCGTCGCCGTTCTTGAATTCGTTCTGCGCGCGTTCCAGCTCCAGCAATTTCCTCACGGGCAGTGACTTTTTCCGCTTCTCGCGCGTCTGCCGTCGACGTCCGCCGCTTTCGGTGATCGAGCGCATTATGTGCTCCTTGTAATGCGAATTTTTCACCATGTGATTGCTCAGCTCCTTTAGGGAGCTGAACGCTTGATCGCATACTTTGCAGGTCAGCACGGCGCTGACGTGACTGCTCGTGGCGCCTGCACCGGGACCGCCGTTGTTTCCGCCATGAGGTCCGGACCCTCCGCCCGGCTGTACACCTGCGCCGCCCCCTCCACCGGTGACACTTCCGCCACCTGCGGCACCACCGGTAGCATTACCGCCCTTGCTGTCGTCCGATGATTTCCAGGATATTATCTGTTCTTGCGAGATGATGTTCGTGTAATGTTGCGTTTGCTGCATGTGTGAGGTCATCTCAGCCAGCGAGCGGAAGCTCTGGCCGCACCACATGCACTTGAGAATCTGCCGCGTTTGCTCAGCCCCCTTGCCCAGCCAGACGTCTTGACCTCGCACGAGCTTCCGCGGTAGTGGCATCGTTTCTTTAATCAGTAAATTCAAATCGGATGGACTTTGTTTGTTGCTAGGTGTGGCCGAATTGTTACTGCCGGCATTGCCGGTGGATGTCTGCGGCTGATGCGGCTGCTGAGGCGGTGGTATGCTCGGCATCGTCGTCTGTTGCGAGTGAATCCCTGGCGCTGGCGGTGGTACCGGCATGTTGACGCCACAGTGCTTCGCCTCCTTCATGTGCGTCGTCATCGCGGCCAAAGTCGGGAAGCTCTGTTTGCACCATACGCACTTTAGCACGTCCTTGGCTTGATCGGCGCCTTTGTTCAACCAGTGGGACTGCCAAGCGCTGTGACGACTGCTGGACGTTGTCGCCGGCGCGTTGGCACCCGTCGCGCCGCTTCCTCCCCCGGAGGACCTGTAAAGATCCTCACCGCCCAATTTACTCAGCTCGCTCATCTTTTCGAGCGCCTTTGTAGCTTCGCTAGGTTGATAGGGCTTCTCCAACGCCGCTGGCGGCTTCATCTTCCCGTTCCAGAGCTGATGATGATCCACTACTCCGCCGGTGCTCTTCGGCGAGAGCTGCTGCTGACTAGTAGCTGCTGCCGCTACCGCTGCGGCGAAGTACGGAAAGTGCGAGGCCACCACCGGAGACGTCCAGGGAGACACGACGGGCGGTCTACCGAAACCGGATGGCGTGACTCCCGGTGCTGTTTCCTGATGGCTCGCGGAACTCGTCGTGGACGCCAGTCTCGATGACTTGCGCGGCGGCGGCGGCGGCGAGTCTTCCGGGCCGGGTCGTTTCCTGCTGGGTACCGAAAGATCCAACGGGCCATTGTTCGTCTCCGTCGAGGAAGACGGCGTAGGTGGTTTGCTGAGATTTAATATCTGCTCCTCCTCGTCCTCCTCGGTCGAGGACGTTTTCCTCGTGCTAAAGTCCAGCACGGCCGGCAGGGGTGTCGCCGACGGCGAGATCTCCCCGATGCTGGTGGGCGACACCAAGAGGCCGGGGGTGGCGGCCGGTGGCGAACACGAGGAGGAGACCAACGGCGACACCGAGCCACGCGACAAGGGCGAGTGGCTGAGAAGGAGGCGCTGATGGGTCTGCTGCAGATACGCCGCCATGACCGCTGCAGAGTGGGGTGGTAGCAGGGAGTGAGTTCCAAGGGGTAGAGGCACGATACTACTTGGACTGACTGGGCTCGCGCTGCTCCTGGTAGCAGGTGGCGGGGGACTTCCGGTCGCCGGACCGGATGATTCCCGAGAATCTCTCGAAGGACAGCGCGGACTCATTGGCTCCCTGAAATTGCAAACGATACCGAGCGCTATAATTTTGGGAGTACGGGCGCGCGTACCCCTCTTCGAGATCTCTCTAGGATTCGAAGCGGCTATGATGGATGAAACGAATCTTATCGGCGCCTCGGCGTAAAAGTACGAAACGTTCGCAGCCGAGCGGCGGTCATTAATCATGATAATCGCGCGATAATTTTCTTGTAACCGATCCGCGAGCACCGCTGCAGAACGCAGGTGACGCCGTGACGTTAATATTTCATAAGCGTCCGCCGTAGGAATTGCTACGCAAACAGCTTTCGCCGTACTGTATGATGGGAACGACGGATACCCGGAATCGTCGGTAGAGGTAAACGGAAAAAAGGCTCGCGTGATAAATAGAGCCTAGAGACGTTAGCGTGTTGCAACGATGGATAATTCACGCATGAAAACGCCTGTCGTTGCTAGCGGCGTACACGCCAAATGCGCACAACACATCAGCGTACCGTGTACAAGTATAATGTCCACGACGCGGACGTTGCAACGGGATACGACAGATTATTATCGGCGTCGAAAACGAAAACACACTTTGTTGCCCGATCAATTATTCGGCGACCTTAGAGAAACGCTGCGCATTCGCGTGTCTCGGCTCCGCGAGTACCACTCGGCCCGCGCGCGCGGCGAATACGCGACGTAACGCTCTCGCGAGCTAACGGAGCTTCGTCCGTTGGACAAATTACGATTAATTGCACGTTGCGACGATGAACGTTAGTCATCCAGCTCGCGACAAAAACCGCGCGGATTGGTCGGAGTCGCCGATCGATACCTGTCGCAGCGTCATCAACGCACGCGAGGATCGACTGTCGGAAGGGAGCACGTGGCCGGGACGGATCGGAGCCAGCGCGCGCGGCCGTCGTAATGGATTGTGCAGAGCCCCTCGACGCGATGCGCGCGCGGCGCGGCGACGTTCCAGGCCTGTCGACGGCTCGCTCGTAACTGACTGTTCCTGACTGAATGCCGAATGCGTGCCGCGAGATGAAAGGGGACCGCTGCCACGCATGCAGGGGAAGTTTTTGGGGGCTGGCGGGACGGCGCGGGTGTGCGGGGGGGTTGCGGGTGCGCCACCGCCGCCCCCGGTTAGGAGGCCTGTGCGCCTGCTAGTGGGGCATCGTCGGTGTGGGACGATGTGTAACACGTGCCTATCTCTATTAGCCGTGTGACGTCGCGCGCGGCAGACACCGATATCAACTCCAACACCGGCTTATTTATCCCTATCCGGAGCCTCGCCCGTCCGTCCGTCCGCCCGGCCGTTCGTTCCGTTGCCACTTAACCCTCGCCGCCCGACGCTTACGTCGCTTACCTCGCGCATGCACATATTTACGCGAGAGGCCCCGTGACGATTTGTTGCTCTTAAACAAAGACGCGGGGGCCTCGTGTACACACGAGGGGCGCCCGGCGACGGCGAACATCAAAAAGCGCGCGGTGTCGCGTCGCGTCGCGTCGGCGCGGCGAGCGATGATTTAAACGCTTTTATTTATAAGGAGTCACCGCGCCCGGACAAAGCGCCGACTAATGAGTCGCCGGCAGACAACGTCGAGGGGAAATTTAGGTACGAGTCCTCCGACTTTACGCCCAGCGTAGGCGCTCGATGATTGTCACTCGCGCGATTATCCGCGACTGATGATTTGCGCGGGTCGCTGCGTCCCACGGCTGACGTTTGACGTGTCGAGTGTCCCTTTCCACGCGGACCTAGCACCCACGTGTCGTGTCGGCGCGCAGAGACACGCGGACGGAGAGACGCTCGACTGACAAATGTAACAAGGAGGACCAAAGAAAGTTGATATGGGTATAAATTGCATACTGAGAAAGTGCGAATAAAAGCTGTCACTGCTCGTTTGACGACGCGTTTGAGCTTGCACGAGTGATGCCTCTGGTTATTGCTGCAGGTAGACCATTTTTTAGCTTCTTGGTACAATCGAGTCCTTCAGGTTTCAGTATGTAAGTATCTCTATCGATATTTGCCGACTTGCCTCCGAAAGAAACGCGCACCAGTTTCTTCACTGACGCGCATTTCTCTAGTAGTTTCTCTCATTAAGACAGTGCTGTTGCGTTGAACTCCGATTGTATATGTGGATAGAAAATTGTACAAACGCAAAATTTACCTATCCGGAGGTCCCGTGTCCCGCAGGATAGTCGGGTTTAACCTCGAGGTGGTGGAAGGCGGGGGCGTAGGTGGCGAGGCTTCCTCATCGTCCTCTTCGTCCGTTCCCTCGGCATCCTCGTCCTCCTTCGCAGCGGGCGCGCAGCCCCGCTCGCTCGGGCTAATGGGCCCATCCTCGTCGACGCAATCGCCCTCCTCACCTTGGAGGTCCGTACCGGGCGCAGAGCCTTCGACGCCGTCCTCCCCTGAAACAGGTCAGCGAGGCAGCGGATTAGATCGGCCGTAATTAAAAAAGAAGGGAATGCTCGATTAACATGCCACATTATATAAAATAACATGGTGTCTACTACATTTCTATTACATGCTCGTACGACGAATGCAGCTCGCATCTTATCGGTGCCGCTCGTATAACGGAATAGAAGTAATTATGTGTCGCATTGGCAATCTAGGTATCTCATTGACCCATCGGCGAATTTTCCATTACACTTGTAGATAAGACGTTGGACGTGAAAAATACTATACGCGAGTGCGTCGTTACGTAGAGGAAAATGCTCCCCCTGTCAGTGTAATCTTGCGTGACAAGCAAGCAAACTTGTATTGCAGGATATACTTATGTATTACTAAGAGATTTAGAAATAAAAAATCGAACGCGAATATATATCAGCCGACGACGTCGTGTATCGTCTTTTCCGCGCGGAGATCGTTGATGTAGGACGCGAATCAAATCCTTCTGTCACCCGCCGTATCTTGATAGAGGAGCGGAGAAGAACGTACGACCTAGGAGTGGAGATACTGAGAAATGACGAAGCTAAGTACCTAGGAGTGATATAAAGGTTTAGATGGCGAGTAACACAATGGCACTATCGGTTCATTTATCAGCCTTTCGCGACGACAGCGGCGACGACGACGACGACGACGACGACGACGATGGGGACGACGACAACGACGCCGACGACGAATACGACGCCCAAGAGGGCGAGGAAGAAAGAGAAAATGCGAGCTATGTCGGATACGTCGACGTCGACGACGACGAGGTATTGTGTGGCGGGACAAGGAGTTCCATCATCTGCATTATGAGTTTTAATCAAATCGTTTCCATTTGAACCCTTGGTAATGAACGGCAGAACTGTCGCTTTGCAACTGTGCGAGAGAATACGACCTAATCTAAGATCAACAAATATTTACGGGGGGGGGAGGGAGGGAGGGTTCACATTGCGTAAATTTTATTTGGAAATTTATCAGATATGACATCGTGGCGTGTTAGTCCACGATTTAAATGCTGACCGCGCGTTCATTAGAACGTTTCATTAAATTATTATCGTCCGCTGACCAACGAAGGCTACACTTGACAGACCCGGACGTGAGTACTCAGGCTCCAACGCGGAACCCTTCTGGTCGCCATCTTGCTCCCGGCATATCCTCTCTGAAGAAGGGAGTGCCGTGTCCTCGGTCGCGAGCAATCACCAAGCTAAGCGCGAGAGCAGGGCGAGAGCGGAAGGTGGTCAGCACACCTCCCCTCGTAGAGGGTGGGGACAACCAGGAGCACCGTCCTACTTTGCCGAGTGACCAACCAAACGATCGTTTGTTCACGGACAGGCCACGGAAGAGGGAGAGAAAGGAGATCGCACATTGATCCGCGGGTGCATCAGCAACTAATTACGCAGATTTATGTCCCCATTGTCCATTGTCTCTCTACCGGGAGCGATTCTCCCGGTGCCCCGGCGCGGACCATTCGATGGAAGCGGCTGGCCGGCCGATCCGGTTGGAACCAGTCATAGGACGGCGAAAAGGTGCACGACTACGGGGAGAACGACGGGGCGACGACGAGAGGAGATAAAAGGAGGACCTCTCGGTGGATCGCTTGGATCCAGGCGCGTATCGAAGAGGGGAACGCAAGAAATCGAGGAACCGAGCGGGCGGACCACCGGCGGGCAGCCCCGCCCGCTACGAGCGCGGTCCGCGTCTTCTACCCTTCCGGGGCCCCCTACGGCCACTTGCGATCGCGAATACCGTGGAATCTAGTATTTGCGTGCCGCTCATTTCTATCCCACCCTATCCCTGTCTCTTGTCCGCGTGACAACTGAATTCGAAGTGATGCTGTTTCGAAATTTCTATCGTAGCCCGCGCCATCTTCGTTTCCAACCAGAGACTTCAACGAGCGTTACTCCGTTTCTGGAAACAGCAACTGCCATCTTTACACGCGTGCGAGTATGTTACGTCAGAAGAATATTTATTCGTGAGCATTCATCAGAGAGACAAAACTCTGTACTTATTCTATAATAGGTACAGCGTGACAAGTCATATTTCATTTTTTTGGAAAGAAATAAAATACATCCTGAATGACCGGTTTATTGAATTAGATTTCGAAGTCACGGGACTTGAATTCACTGGAGTACCGACCCAATCGTAATGACAAGGGTCACCGGGAGTCCCGCGACTCGAAAGTATTTCACCGGCGATCGGGATCGATCGGACGTCGACGTCGGGCTCAGTAGGATGCAAATGCTCGCACGAGTGGAGTTCGTGCGGGGCTATTGGCAGACCACTAACAAGGACCGCACCGGGTTGCGCATCCCGGACGTAGCCCGCCGGTAAGATACGCCTCGGGAACGAGAAGCGTGGCGTACCGAGCTTAAAAGCGGCCGAGTCTTGACACTCGGCGAGATGCTACTGGCCGATATCCGGCTCCTCCTGTCCTTGGCTCACCCGAACCGCGCTGCACGTTAGAAAAGAGGCGCAGCGTATTAGCGGCCTGTGCTATGCGGAGAGAGCGGGTCGCGCTATCTACGATGCCGATGGTTCTGCGCCAATAGCCCGCCTACGACTCTCGGTCCAGAACAATAATTAGTCTTATCGGCGAAGCATCCGCTTTCGAGCCCGTTACGATCTCTACTTGATTTTTCTCTGCATTCTCTCTCTCTCTCTCTCTCTTTCTTTTTCTTCTTTTCTCTCTCTCTCTCTTTTACAAATGTATGTCTCCGCGCGTTTCCCCGTCTTCCCCCTTCGCCCTTTTGTCGTGCCACTCCTCGCCTACCTCCACGACGAAACCTGCGCACGAGTTACGGATATAGATAACAGACACCTGCATATATTGGCGTACACATGTCGGTGATGTACCGAGGACTAGCTGGTATTGGTATCGCAACGGTATTAGCTATCCTGTAACTCGTAAGGACGATCTAGTCGTAAGTCGAACAACTGGGCTAGTCACGCTCGCTATTCGCGAGGACGATCGGCAGTTGCTAATTGCTGATAAATTCCGTGCTTCTGTATGCAAAATCTCGAGAGCGTATTGTGAAAAAAAGACTACGCCGCTCTTGTTAATGGAGAAATATTAATTACTTTCGAACGCATACAAATAAATTCCATTATCGCAAGTTATAAAAAGAATTGCAATGCATTAAAAATTTCAAGGACGGCGAGATAAAATAACGTTTGCGTTAAATATTATTCGTACTTCCATGTGTTTTATTTCAAAAACTTTAATTTAATCTATTTAGCAATTAGCATCACAAAGAGTATGGAAATTTTTCCTAATTTATCACGATTCAGATTTGACTTAATCCGCGATATTTATTCCTTGCACGATTTGTTGAAACGTGATGCAATATAATGCATCTGTTAAAATTGAAAACAAAACTAATTATTTTCCGTCAATTTTTGAATGTTTTCTTTTGAGGCCATTCTTCTGGAAAACGATTTGTCACACTTAGACGTACGAAGGCAGAACGAGTCGCCGAGATGAAACGCGGTAAGCCTTACAAATGGCAGAACGAAAAATAAGGTGTTAAGACAAGGATCCTTTAGTGCATGTTCATAAATTGCGGCCGTGAGTAAGGCGTAAATTTTAGCGTTCATAGGCATCCGCACTAGTGTCAGCTTGTGTACTTTAGTGATTTACGCGCAATCAACGCGCTAAATCAGTTAGGTTTGCTTGTAATTAGCATCTACGCCGAACGTTCAACCAGTAAGGAAATTTATAACGCGGGGTGCCTGTTTAATTGTTTGTAAGAAATCTGATATGCAGAGCGGCAGCTTTAAAAGCGACGTAAGAGCGAATTCTTTCTGTAAATATGATATACCGACGCAACTCGGCGCGATTAAAGATTCGCAATTAGAAAATAAATAATGCTATTACAAGAATTGGAAATAGCCAAATTACAGCGTTACGTTATATTATTTTAAAAAGCTATTGAAAAAGCTGTTCTCAAGCGTTGCGGATAGCACATTATTTCGTAGAATATCAAACTACATCGATCCCTCTGGAATCTTGGACAAAGTGTGATGTATCACACATAAAAAAGAAAATCTTTCTTCGGAAATTACTTTGTATCCATCGATTTGATGGTACGTACTAGGCGTTCACGGTGAACTGTGTGGCAGCTACTACGTACATACGTGAGCATCCGCCGGCTTTTACTTTGTTTCTCATTGTCAGATAGGCCGTCGGTGGATACCGGTAATTACATAACCACCGTGTTAGAATGTAGAGCTGCGTACATCAGAAAAGATCCTCGCGAGAGCCGCTCGGCTTCACGGTGCACGAAGTTAATTTCTCGTCTCCTCCACGTCGGGACGGCCGAGCGAAGTTGCCGGGACGCCTTCCGAGACGGATCTTTGATAAGTAGTACTACTCGCGGACGGTTATCTCGGCGAATATCCCGGGGAGGCGCGGATCTTTCTGTCTCTCTCTCCCTCTCCCTCTCTCCCCCCCTCCCCTCTCTCTCTTTCTCTCTCGGCAGCAATGACGCCACGCCGGGGCAAGTAACCGGGTCGAACTTTAGCAACGTCCTGGCAATAAAACAGTACATAATAACAAGCCGGCGGCTGCGGCGGCAGGGAAGGAACAAAAGGAGAACCCGGAGGAGGACAGGAGAGGAGATGAATTTCTGATGCGAGAACCGTCGGAAGGCTGGCGGGGAGAGTGACAGGAGGCAGACGAAGAGACGAACGGATGGACAGGCAGACAGACGGACGAACGGACGGGCGGACAGAAGGACGAAGAGGGACGGCGAGAAGAGGGAGGCCTCGCATTGTGATTCTCTCGCGGTCTGCCAGAGAGTGACTGACGGGTGAATCCGTTTTCTCCTTCCTCCGCGCCTCTTCCTCTCTCCCTCGCGCGTGCCTTCTGTCCTTCTTTCCGTGTCTCTTTCGCTTCCCTCTCCCCCCCCCCTTCTCCCGCGTACGCCCTGCGATTCCTCCTTCTCTCGGAGCAACCGGCTTTGAAAGCCTCATACTCAATCCG